GGCTACTTCCGGGAGAGAATGTGAACCCTGTAGTGTAAGAAAAATTTTAGCCGAAATAAGCAGGCGAAGAGAGGCAACAAAGGGCCAGGTAGTTTATTTGAGTGCAACTCCCGGGTGATGTTCCGCGTCTGGGTATTACAGGCTGGGGAAGTCACACCCGGTCAGGGAGGTGGGGGCTTATAAGGGGTTAGGAGGGGGAGGAGTGGGCAATCTATCCTAGGGGGCGTGGAGAGGTATGATTGGCTAAAGGTGACATAATAGACAACTAGAAACTTTTTTTCCTTCCAAGAGGGAGGAGGCTTACATCCGGGTCTTAGTTGGCACATCAGAAGGATGGAATTCAGGAAGAGCTGTTCCCTTTCCATATAAGGCAGGGACCTTGGGGTCTGGTCTGTTCTCCCCCTGTGGCATCTCTGTTCTGTTTGCATGTCCTTGTTTTTCCTTCCTCCAGCCTAATATGTAGTACTCAGCCAATGAGGAACCAGGGGAGGGACTCCTGTACTAGGGAATAAATTACTTGGCACCAACAGGTGTGCTTGCCCACCAGACACAGGATCTTGCAAGACCGTCATTAAAGCCTCGCTCCGCTGTTCTCTTTGTCTCCTGTCCACTTAATTGAGTTTGGACCAGTGAGTGTTTTCATGTCTTCTGGGATCAAAATCTCCTGCCTCCATTGCCTTGAAAACCAGATGCTCTAGACAATTCATTGGTGGTAAATTACTCAGTGAGTATTTACTAAGCATCCAGCATCTGGGACATGAGAGTTTTGAGACCTGAGTGAGAAAACTATCACAGGATGCCAACCTGCCTGCCCCTGTGGAAGACAGCAACAGCCACCTGGGCTCCTGTCCACACTTTACCAGTGGTAATCCATTCCCCTTCCTTCCTTTCTTCTTACCGCCCTTTATACAACACAGTAAATGAATGCAGTCTCACCGTACAAAATAATACATTATCCTCATCACTCCCAACCTAGGGGATTCCTTATGGGGAATAACTATTGTTTTAAATTTAGAACTCTTCCTATGCACTTACATAGTTATTTTCGCATACCGAAATCAGGAGTTTGTTCTTTGTTTCAACATAAACTCTTGGTTTTAACATAAACGGCATTCACTGTTATTTTGTTGAACTTGAGTTTTTAACAATTAACATTTCAATTAAATGAAGACTTTGTCCACATCTGTTAATTCTACCTTATTCTTTTTTAAATTGCTGTAAAATACTCTATATTATATGCATATCTCCACTTAGTTTGCCAATTGATGAGCAATTACATGTTCAGCTTTTAATTATTTTAACAAAGCTTACAATGTTTTGTTAAAAAAAGCAGCCTCTTCGCTAAAAAAATGTGGTTATCAACTAAGAAACGGTATTGTTTTGAGGGAAATACAAAATAACACTGCTAATATCCTTACGAAAAGAAGTGTATCACTTAAAATTCCTCCAAATGTGACTAAGAATAGCCATGACTATTATCACAGGCCACCTGGCTTAAACTGACAATCTGCTTCATTAGCATTTCAATTTGGAGAGTCTTCTTGTAAAATACAAACTTCTTAGACCCTTTAAGAAACCTTCCAGGGTCTCTCCAATGCCTCCCAGACAAACTTCAAATTTCTCAGCAAGACTAAAGAGATCCTGTAGGTTCCTTATTCCAGAAAACCTTTAGCGGCTTCTCTTCTCTGGGCCGAGCTCCCCCCCAGGTTGCACTATGCCCCCAAAACCCTGTTCCCGGGTTTTGGGACTTCCTGGCCCAGGGCTGCTTCCGCATCTGTGTCGACTGGGTGATGGATGGCGAGCAGGGATAGCGTCTTGATTATTTCTGACCCCAGCTCCTGGAGCTCAATATTTGCTGAGTGAGCGAGGCCGATGCTGGAATTGGTAGGGGGTGGGGGGGGGGCAGAGGGATGCTCGTATTACGCTCCCGGGGACGCCTGAGTCGCCATCCTGGGGCCAGGCGAGGGGAGACGCACCCAGGTCCCACCAGGCTGCTGTCGGCTCCCCTTCTCACCTTCCCTAAAAGAGAAGCTCCCGTGTGCTTCATTACCTAATTTCCCTGCAAAACTTAACGGGAGACCCTACCGCAGGGCCGCATGCCTGGAATGAGAACGGACCGAGGCATGTCTACGTATTTCCCTATAAAATGCTCATGGTGACCAACAGAGGGCCCAACAAAACACCGAGAGACGTGGACAGGACCGGGCTGTAGCGCCACTTAGCTTCGAAGGGTTTCAGGAAATCTTTGGGGTGTCCATATAGGAATTTGACAAATTATCTTTTAAAGGTGAGGACTCCTCACACCCACAGCAATTAGAAAACTGAATGACAATGATGGTGACGCATAGGGTGTTGCGTTAAGGCCCAAGCTGATCGGAGAATTACAATGGACACCTCGGCAACAATAGGGAACACGTCTGTGAACACCATGGGGCCAACCCGCAGCAGCATTTGCCAAGGAAAGCAGAGCAGAAATGTGTGTTCTCAAACTCCACAGCAGTTTTCACGCATGACGTTTTCACAAGATCTTAGGTAGACACCGGGAGCTAGTTTTGGCTTTCCCTTAACGGTTGTCCAACAATAGTGCTGACTAATGATGAGAGCCAGCAAGTGCCCTTGGGCGGCCGCGTGTAAATAAAAAAAGTTGTTATAAGAAGAAAAAAGAACGGGAAACTTCACCACTTGGCTCCCCGGGTGCCGAAATGTGCGGAAAAGGCGGGAGAGGGACCTCAGAGACGGGACCCAACAAGAGAAAGAAATGAGATAGAAGCGCGGCATAGGAATGCCTCAGAACCTCCCCAGAGGGCCGGCGGCCCTGGGGCTCAGTCTCCTTGGTGCAGTCCAACCCCAGTGTCAATCAGCAATTTCTAGCGTTGCGATTGGCTGGGAACTCCCTTGGTCTCCCTGGTGCCCACCTCCTAGTTGCTTGGGGTTTACTTCCCCAAAGTACACGGGCCCCACCTTGTGGAGCAACCGCTCCTGCATGGCAGACGGATCTCCGCCCAGGGGAAGACGTTTCAACGAATGGGTGCGGCCCCATGCACTTACTGGCCGCCGTGGGTATCGGTCAAAGAACTTCCCACCCTCCTTCCCACCGTACCTTTAGGTAATTGGCCTCTCTCTGTGCCATCCGTTACTAGGGAAACGAGATCCTCAGAGTCTCATAGGTAAGAGTCAAAGCCAATCAAGAGCCACGCCTTCATCCTGAGTCAGTACCCAATTGCTGCTCCAGGAGCCTGGAGGACGCCGTCGGGATTGGTCACCAGCCGCCCGACCTGGCCGCAACAAGTTAGGCTGAATCGCTGTTATATAGACCGGCGACCGAGCACGCGTGTGTGCGGACGCAGCTGCGTGAAGGGCAATTTGTGTGTGCTGTGCTCTGGAGCGAAGCTTGTGCCCTTCCCGCTCAGCCGCTCAGGTACGCCGGGGTGTGGGCGGGGCTGGGCGCCTCAAGGGATGGAGACGAGCTGGACGGTTGTGAGAGGGACCAGTCCGAGCGGCGGCCGCGCCAGGCGGCCCCCCCACCCCTAAACCTTAACGGTCCGGCGCGCGCGCTGAGCGCACGGGCGCGCGGAGCGTCCAGCTCCCGCCCCCTCTCCCCCTCGGCTCCCACCGGCCGACGCGCGTGTCCGTGTCCGCGCCCGCCGCATGCGCGTGCCTTGCCCAACGGCCGCGCGGCGTTGGAGCGACCTGCGGCCGCCGCCCGGGGCACAGGGCCATCTGTGGGCCTGGGCCCTGCGCGGCCAGCCTTTCCCGCCAGCCCCTCCACTCGCCAGTCGGGTCTTTATCCACTCTTGGGATGGGGTTCCGGCTTGGCCCGGGCCAAAGGCATTTATTTAGGGGAGAGGGCGTCACGAAAGTGCGGTAATAATTCTTGGGCAGGGGAACCAGAAGTGACACTTGGTTTTCCAGGGTGTGAACGGGGAGCCGCGGGTCTATGGATAACGAGTAATGATGATTAGTTTTTTTCCTGAGGTTTCACTTGTGTGCCAGGCCTGTGTTGAGCAACTTGTGGGCCTCTCATGTGCACCCCCAACGACTCGGTGAGGTAGGTTCTGTGATTTTCCTCGCTTTACAGTGGACTCGGAGGCCCAGAGGTGGAGCGACATGGTCAAAGGCACGCAGACGGTAAGGGGCAGGTATTTGTGTGAACCCAGGCCGTCTGACTTGAGTGCGCGAGCCCATTTTATTTTCTGCTGCAGGCCCTGTGCGCCTCCAGAGCACCTCTGCCCCTAGGGCGCTCGTCCCTGGGGACCGCGTCAGCCTTCAAAGGCCAGCTGCCGTGAAGACGGCAGCGGCATTTGTCCTTGAGCCAGTCGGGCGTCTAGAGAGACGAGGGTTAGGAGTGGGATTATGACAAAGGAAAAGAAAGGATTTGGGCTTCTTTTCTACGTGTATTGATACATGTAGTTGATGAATGTGGTGCACTAAAAATACTTCTGGGAAAGGTATAGATAAAATGAATAAGTGCAAATGGACACGAAGTGTCCTTAGATGAAACTCATAGCACGAGGATGGGAAATTCCCGCCAGCAGGAAGTTAGGCTCTGATATTCGACCTTGAACCTTTTTTTTTTTAATCGGAGCGGACTTAAAAAGACCTTCCAAAAGATAGTTTAACTTCCTCGTTTTGTAGTTGAAGAAAATGAGGTGCGGAGCGATGACTTCACGTTTCACTATCGTGTGTAGGTTAAAATTAGAAATCGTAATAGGAAGGTGCTCAGTTACAAGTTACAGTCTACTTTTGACCTCTTTATTTGTAGCTTACTAGGTGAATTGCGGGTGATTGAGATGTGTTGGAAATATTTCACCCTTAGTGGCAGTTGGGATCTTTTGTGGATGGAAAAGCCTGTTTACATTCAGTTCATTTGTTTTTTTTCTGTTAACGCTCCTGTGCATATGCAACATAGGAGACACCTCCAAAGACAAGTATGTGTTTTAGACTTTTTAAAAGCCAGTGTAGTCATTAACGAAATAATAAATGTTCTTGTGTTGCAGCCCAAATCATCACATCACAAATGTCTACTGGAGATAAAACTACAATAAAAGTTTTGGGACTAGTTCATTGGAATGGCTTTCAACTTTTTTTTTAAAGACGCATCTTTTGTTTGGGCACTTTCAAGGATTTTTTTTGAGGTCGGAGCACATACAGCATTGTAAGAAGTTTAGAAACTATGAGGAACCTTTTGCAAGTGTTTCCATTTACCTTGTGCTTTCCATGTTTCTTAACCGAAAGTAATAGTAGGTAAAAGGATCGAAATGTTGAATGGACAACTTCTTTCCTATCGACACATTCTTGCCTTTTTGATGTTGCCAAGAATAACAGATTGCTTTAGAGTATAACATTGTTTTTCTTGGAACTTGCCTATGTAGCAATTCCAGTTACCTGCATTTAGACGGGGCAGAGCTGTTGAATTAGCATTTTAAGTTACCAAATGTTAAAACACTAATGACCTACATTTAAACCGTTGTTTGATTCCAGCTAATTTTATTACTGCTTGATGTAGAAGATATCAGAATGAAATTACTTTATCTATTCACTGAGGGATAATTTTGTTAGTTTCTCCTTCTGCTGTTTAACAAAATACTGTTTCTGATCTGCAGCCATTGGTTAACAGTTGTTGGACAGGAATAGGAAAACTGATATTTCACAAATTGGTTGCCCAGCTGATCCTCTTGTGCATTCTTTTATCAAGAACAAATGAATTGAAGCAAATTGTGATAATACAGACTTCTGTGCTTTCTTGTTTCCCAGCCAAGTCAGAGTTTTTATTTTTGTTGCTAAACCCTTTCACTCTAAGCTTTTGTACTTCTAACTAGTAGAAAAGTAGGCAGTTCTTTGTTCTTTATTTAACTCATTTTCAATTTGCTGTTCTCAGCTGGTAGTCTGCTAAGGGAACATCAGATTCCGTAATGTTTGTTGGTGACCTACTTTGTAGCAGTTAACTTGTAATTTACATTTTTAAAAACTTGTTTTAGAAGTTGCACATAAAATAAAGGGGTTAGATTTTAAATTTTTGTAGGTTTGTGAATTTATGTATCATGAGGAGAATGGATGAGGCAATGTTGAAAGTTGAATTTAATACAAAGCCTGATACTATGACCTAAACCATTTCTTTCCTTTTTTTTTTTTTACCAGTTTCATAAAATTACTTGATCTTCAACATTTTGCAGTTTGTTTTTTTAAAATAATATTTCAGAACTCAGATACATATTGGATACTCATTAAATTGTGCTTTTTAAAACTGCCTTGGACAAAACTTATTTTAAAAGGGGAGAAAATTGTCAAAGTAGGGAGGTTAAAGAAAACACATTTTTTTCCTGGCTAATAAGTTAACAAATAGTGGGAAAAACCTTCAGTGCCATACTGTCCTTCCAGCTAAGATTCAGCAACTGTAATCTCACTTCGGTGATCACACTGGCAGCAAACTGGTGTGTTTTCAAATTTCAAAAATTAGGTTTCTCTTTTTTTAAAGTATTGTCTGAAGTACACCCTATCTGACCTTGATTGGAAAAACTGAGCTATAAGGTGGATAATGTGGTGTAGAAATAATCTGCACATGAATAGTGGGCTTTATAAAGCAGAAAGTAATTTAAAACATTTTGCTCACTGACTGTGGCCTTTGTAGATAAGGTCTTCAGTTAACATTAACTATAGATTTCCGCATCTGTCCTCTGGCCAGCCTGTCTTGTAATGTTTAGCTGCTTAGCCTATGTATTGTATTTTAGGTATTTAATAAAATAGATATTCAAGATAGTTCAGAGAAAGTAAGCTCGATGGGGCACACTTCTCCTTTTTAGGGATGTCATCCTTTCTGGGTGTTAACTTAGCCGGGTAACAGCATCATTGTATTTGTATAGCCCTTTATAAATTTTAAAAGTGCTTTCACACATCTTAGGTATTCTCATGTATTTTTATAGGAGAACTAAAGCTCTGAAATATAAATAGTTGTCTAACCTATTTTGTAAAGCAGGTGGTATATCTAGCATGTGTACTAGCTATTATTGAAAAAACTTTGAATGATTCAGAATCTGGAAGGTGTGAGTGTGACATCTTCCTGCTCTTACAGGCTTCTTAGAGGCCAGTATTTTGGACTCTGATCTTCAAGCTCTTAGCATTTTCTGGAGTATATTCACCTATGCTTTATGAGGTCTAAAGGATGGGAAATTCATATTTCTAGGAACTTCATAGATAAGGCATTCGTATTAACTATAAAGCATTTTTTCATTTTGATGAGAAAACAAATGTTGGTTATTTATGAACCCAGATGACTAGCTTTTAAGTGGAATGGGGAAGGGATGTTAAAACAAGAAAAGCTAGTGAATTGTTAAGTTTTCCAACTGCTTTGAACTTTTTTTCTTTTAGGAAAACAAGTTTCTGAGATAGTTTTAGATTTACTGGAGAGTTGTCATATACAGATACCTTCACTCAACTTCTCAGTTAAAATCTTATGTAATCATGATATATTTATCAAAACTAAGAAATTGACATCAGCAAAATTCTGTTAACTAAATTATTGACCTTACTGGGATTTCCTTAGTTTTTCCGCTAATGCCCTTTTTCTGTTCCAGGATCTATTCTAAAATACCATGTTGTATTTAGTACTCATGTTTCATTAGTCTTGATTCTCTGACCACTGTCTGTCTTTCCTTTATCTTTGATTACCTTGACACTTTTGATCTAAGGTTATAGATTTTGGAGAATACCACAGAGGTGATTTGGCCTTCTTACCGCATTTGGGGAACATAATAATGGTTGAATTTAATCTTGATCATTTGATTAAAGTAGTGTCTACCCGGTTAGGATTTTTCTCCTTTGCATATTCTCTTCGTTAGAAGTTAGTCACTAAGAGGGAGAAGCGTCTGAATTTGTGGACTGTTAAAGCTACCACTGTAATTGATGTTTTTTGGGGGAGACACTTTGAATCAGCAACTGTTATTTTTCCCAAGTTACCCTTAATTTTAGCATTTATTAGTGAATCTTGCCTATGGCTTTTATTGTGTTTTAATAATGACTCCCTCATTCCTTCTGCCTTACTTGAAATTATTCTTAACAAAGATTTGTCACTTCTCCCTCATTCATTTTTTATTAAGACTTTATTTTCTTACCATGATCTTTTTATTTCATCAGTTATATCAGTGTGGACTCACTTTTAACTCTTTGGGTTGTAATCCAGAGTTACCCTACCTTAATATTTGCTCTTTTACTTACTATTCACATTGTTGCAGTTTTGGCTCTTGAGTGCTTTTGAGGTTCCCCCTTTCCCACCCCCTCCCACCCTCACACCTTTATCTTATGCATTTGTCTTTCTTTATCAGATGCTTCAGGCTAGTCTTGTGTTTTTTGCCTGTCCCAGCCTTAGAAATAACCATTATTTCCAAGAGCTATCAGGAAGAATTTGGGAGGAGGAAGGGGTAACAGGGAGCAAATAGGAACATTTTGGAAAGTAGATTAACAGATCCAGTGATGGTGATATTGCTCTTGCTGTGAGCACTGATGTTGGCTTCTGTTTAAAGTTTCTCTGGCCTGGGAAAACATTTTTTTTCTTTAATAGCTAACCCAAATTTCAAATGTTTGAGTACATAACATAACCTTGCAACAAAAATTTGTGACAATTTAATTAAACACATGTTAGTATACACAGACCCTTGCCTTTTATTTATTCTTAGTGATTTTGATAAATTATTCAGGTAGATTTAAAAGACCACTTGTATACGTTGTACTCAGAATTGTTAACATTTTTAAAAAGTCTATTTTTTTCTTGTACAGGTGCCCATTCCTCTTTTCCCCTGAGAAAACCTTATGTCTTCCCAGGCTGTTTTATTAGTGGCTTAAAAAAAAAATCTTTTTTCAAATGGTTTTATTGAGCTGTAATTGCCATACAATAAATTGCACTTATTTCAAATGTACGTTCTGGTAATTTTTGACACTTTATACTCAATAAACCATTAACACAGAAAAGATAGTGAATGTATCCATCGCCACCAAAAGTTTTCTCTTGCCCCCATGCATTCTTTCCTGTCCACTCCCCCACATCTCCTTCTCCCAGGAATGCCTTACCTGCTTTCCCTGAATATTTGTGTGCATTTTATTTATTTTATATAGTTGGTATCTTACAATATGTGTTTTAAAATACACTACAGTTTGTTTATTCACCTGTTGATGGACTTTTGGTTTGTTTCCAGTTTTCGGCAATTACAACTAAAGCCTCTTAAGAAATTGCCTATGTTTTCCACTTTACCTTCGCACTAGCAGTATTTGAAGGTTCCATTTCCTCAGTATCCCAACCAGTACAGTATGGTCAGCCTCTTACATTTTAGTCATTCCGACAGGTGTGTAGTGGTACCTCACTGGTTTTAATTTGTATTTTTGAAATTACTAATGGTGGTTAGCGTTTTTCATGTATTTGTTTGGCATTCAAATAATTTCTTTGGTGAGGTGCCTTCAGATTGTTTGCTCATGGGGTTATTCCGTTTTACATATTTTGGATACAAGTTTTCTGTGAGATTTGTGCTTTACAAATATGCACTCAGTCTGGCTTGCCTTTTCATTCTCTAAAGGGTCTGGCAGAGCAGGTTTTAAATTTGATGGAGTCACATTTATCTGTCTCTTACAGATCAGGATTTTGGTGTTGTATCTCATCTTCACTTAACCCAAGATGATGCAGATTTTTTTTCTTTTGTAATTTTTTAATTTCATTTCATTTATTACATATATATATATATTTTGTAGATTTGTGGCATTTATTATAAAAAGCTGGTATTCATACACACAGCAGTAAGAACTTAAAATTCATCCATTTACTTCATATTTTTAGCTTGACCTTCTACTAAATCTTTAGCGTTGCTATTTTTGGCCACTATAGGAGATCCTTCCTTGTCTGGTGATTTAAAAGCATAATTCGTTGATGAACATCTCTTACTATTTTTCCTTTGTTGGCAGTAGGGCTTACAACTGGTATTAATGCCACTTCCCTACCTGGTGCAGGTTTCTTGTAGTTTTTTGGTTTTACAGAAAACCATTTTGAGTTAAATTTTAATACAGTGTGAGGCATGAAATGAGGTTCTATTTTTTTCCCTGTATGTGGATATATAATTGTTCCAACACCATTTGTTGAAAAGAATATCCTTTTCTGCTGATGTCTGGACTATTGTTGCAAATCAGTTGTCCATTTAGTGTGGGTATATTTCTTAACTCTGTTCCAAATATCTATTCGTCTAGTTTTTATGGTCACACTATAAATAGTCTGACTATAATGTATCTGTGAAACATGTTAATCTATGAACAATGTCTGGCATTTTGTGTATACTGAAAATACTGAAACATTTAAAGGCTATTACAGTATGTGTCAAGTGACTTTTTTCATTTTAATACTGTTTTTGAGATGTGTCATGTTGACTTTATTATTGCTATAAATAGGGTGACTGTCTTGGTTTCCCAGGGACAGCCCTAATTCACTGCAGTTAACCTGGTAAAATTATAAATAGTACCTACCACTTTTTAATTTTTCAAGTACCTGTATGATTATCTTTGAGGTTCACGATGTGAATAACCACAGCTTAATCTATTTCCTTTTTGATGGACCTGTAGGTTGTTACTCCTTATAAGTTTTAGAAATACTGTGGCAGTTATAAAACAGTTAAATTCTCCGTTTATGTTTTGTGCAAATGGGTGTTTCTTGTATATAAATCTAGAAGAGGATTGCTAGATTCATCAACAGTTTTGATTTTATTAGGTACTTGCAAAATAGTTCTCCACTGTGTTTGTAGCAGTTGAAACTCCCTTCAGCAGTTTGCAGGTTCTCTCTTCCCTACTTCCTTGCCAGTGTTTGGTTTAGACTGGTATTTTAATACTTTGGGGAGTGTCCGGTGAGAAGTGATAGGTTTTAATTTTGCATTTTACGGTTAATTTAGTTTATCTTTTTTCTGTTTCCCATTTACTTTGCCAAGTATTGCCTGTTCCTTTTCCTTTGCCTGTTTTTCTTTTGGGTTATTCAGTGATTTGTAAAGGAGTTCTGTATATATTCTGGATTCTAATCTTCTGTATGATGCATTTTTTTGTGATTTAAGACTGACACTTAAAGGTTATGAGGTATTATGGTATTTTGCCATTTTGCTTTTGGTAGAAAGAGAAAGCTCTACTATTAAAAATTCAGGTGGATTATGATTGGTCTTCATGCTTCCCTGATGTTGGAACATAAATGCCCACAGTTACTTGAAGCTCCTTTAACACTAGCAAATTTACTGATGGGGAATTTGTTTACAGTTGCCAATGTAAAAATTTGGGATTCAAGTGGACACTTTGAAAGTTAAGGGAATATTTCATAGGTCAGGGTCAATCCTGTAAAATAAATAATTGATTATGTTAATCTGTGATGTATTAACATTTCCATTGTTTATGTTTTTTTAGAGTAGCTCTTATTGACATGACAGTGTTAATGCTTTTCAAAGTAGATAAGTATAAAAATTAACATTCCCAGTGGATGACAAATCAATTCTGTTGCCTCAAACATTTTTTTTCCTTTGGTATAAGCTACCTTAATCATGCCTTCATTGTTTGCTTTGCAGGATCCTAAAGCCAACACAAAGTGATCTGTTTGAAAAATTTTAGTATTACAAGCCAAAAGCGAATTCCCTTCTGAAATTGGGAAACTCCATCAGAAAATACTCTGATTAGCTCTTAGACCTTAGCCCTGAGAGTTCAGAGAAAATAACCAGGTAAAACTTCTCTTGAACCAGGAAAAAGTTGAAATTGGACCTTCCACACCTGCTGCTAGCAGAGATGTTACATGGTCCTCAGATCTGTTTAAGTACCTCATTTACACTAATTAAAATCGCAGAGTGGAGTTAATTTATGGAATTATAAATCTTATGGGATTTTAAAGATCATTGCAAGAGCTAAAATATGTAAGGTAGCATATCACTAATTAATAGATATTGGTACCTTTTGTTTTTTTCTTAGTCTTTATTCTGAAAGTAATGCATGTTTATCCCAGAACATTCCAACAACACAGATATCTATGAATCTCATTCTTTTCAATAGCTAAATAGTATTCCAGTATATAATGTGGTATATACATTAAATGGAACATAATATAATTTTCCATAACAGTGCAACAGTGAATACTCTTTACACCTTATGTTTATATTCTTATACCTTGTTTGTTATATTTACACTTTGTGTTTTTTAAACACAATTTTTGTATAGATGGTTCAGTAATTTAAAACTCCCCCCATTCCCAAAAGAAACGGGAGTGATGGGTATGCTCAATTTTTAGGTTAGTGTTTGGAATAAACTCAAATAAACATTTTGATATTTCTAGGAACTTTTCTCAAGGGAAATAGTCCACATGACTGATAAGTAAAAATTGTTTCAAAAGTTTATTTCAATTCAGCAAACTTAATTTCCAAGCATAAGAATAAAATAAGTTATTTAGCAACAAGAAAGTAAGACATAAATGCATTATTTTTAAAGGGAACAGAATTTTTATGCTTAATGGAACATAAATGTATCTATTGTAGCTCATTGATGTATGCTTTAAAAGTTAAAATATTAAAATGTGCACTTGACTTGGTTTTACAGTATGCCTGGGCGATGACATTCAGTGGGCACACAGGCAAGTCTTTCTATGTAGCATTCATATGGATGGAACACTGCAGTCATAAAGTCAACCTAGAATTTCTTTAAAAAGGTAAAAGTTTTGCATTAAGTACTTGGCCTTTCATAGTCCTAGGAACTCTGTAGAAAAATTCTTTTTCTCAAAGGAAATAATTTGTGTTTTGCTAGCAAAATACTTTAGTTTTCTGGGTGACAGAAGGGTAGAATGTAGGAACAGTTTTCTTCATCAGTCAGTAATTATGGTATTAATAGCAGTAACAATACTAACCTTTAGTTAGGTTCTTAGTATTTTTAGAAAATTCTTGCAGTTATGGTTTTAATTGTGCAGATGAAAGAACAGGAGCACAAAGGTTGAATTGTCTATAGGTGCACAATTAGTGAACGGTGTTGGAGAATTTTTTTCCTACTGAAAATCAGTGTTTGCAAATTTGGGGGCTTCCTTTTGGATCTCATCTACTCATTTTAAAATAGAGTAGTCAGTCTTGAACTTCATTTGTCATATTTTACTTGCCTTAGGTTTGGGTGGTTCAATTAGAACTGATAAACTGGAGATTGTGTTTATTGTTTTTCTTAAGGATTTCTAAGTGGCCAATTCTTCTTCACTTAATGAGGTTAAGAACTGTCCTTTCCCTACCATAGTACCTTTTCACTATTTCTTGAGAAAATATTTAAGGGAAAGTATGATTTTTAAAATGTATTTTTCCTGTCCCTTTCATGGAGTACAGTTGGGAATATTGACTTCAAAAGTTCTATGACTTGTATAAACTTAGATGTAAAATTCATGGAAGGTAAGCTTCCTTTAGTGAAAATGGATGATTTCCTCCCTCCCCTTTTATTCCCAGGTCTTGTTTGTTTCGTATCTGATCTTTCTAGATAGTGATTTTGCTTTTACATTGTTCTTAGGAATATTATTTTTGAGTGATTTTGTAATATATGCTGCAAAAGGTTTATGATCCTGTTGATCTGAAAGCAGTGTAATAAGGGAGTAATCTCTAAATAGGAATACTTGGAATATTTGTTTGATGAACTTTGCCTTGAAAGAATGGCACGTATCTTTTAGGAAGTCTTCCTTCTTCACATTGGCATTGGGAGGGGGGAATGACTGTTACTGATAATTGAAACAATAGAATTAGTTGACCCTTAAACAACTGAGGTTTGAGCTCACTGACACCCTGAATAGTTGAAAATCCATGTATAATATTTGATTTCCCCAAAACTTAACTGCTAATAGCTACTGTTGGCTGGAAGCCTAACAAATAACAGTCCATTAACTCATATTTTGTATATGTACTATATACTGTATTATAATAAAGTAAACTAGAAAAAAGGAAAATGTTATTAAAAACCACAAGGAAGAGAATACTGTATTAATGCTTTAAGTTGATGTTGTCTATTGACAAGGTGAATTGTGCGTACCTGCATCAGTATTGTCTTAATGATACAAAACACTGTATGTTACATGTATTACTAACATTACCCTTCAAAAATGAAAGCATGATGTGGACAGGAAATTCATACTTATTTACAGATACAATGATTCATGCATTGATAACAAAGCAACAGTATAATTTCTGGTAGTCTAATGTAATTGATGTTTCACAATTGCCTGTCCTACACACTAATTGATGAATTTGCTATAAAATTTTCATGGCATTCAGTATGAGTGTCATATTCATAATGCAGTATTGGACATACCTGACTTCTAAATTTTTTCAGTATTTCTAGGTGATTGGGTTTGAGTTTTTTCAAGGTGTTCAGTATCTCCAAAAAATATTTCCCAGAAAAAATATCTGCCTCTAAGTGGACCCACCCAGTTTAGATTATGTTGTTCAAAGGACAACTGTAGTTTCCTATTCTGATTTTGTTACATGCTTCATAGTATATTTGACATTGTATCCATTGGCATGCTGTTACGTTAGAAACAGCTAGACTCCATAGTCATACAAATTGGTGAAACCTCTTTTAAAAGGACGCAGTGTTTTGGGAGTGTTTTATAAATGAGGGAGAATCTTAGAACTTTTAGCATGTGTGTTCAGTGATATGCATAGCTTATAATGCCACAGTAGATCAGTAGTAATTGGCAAAACCTGCTTTTCTGAGGTGACTGCTTGTGAATTTGTTTTCTTTATTTTGGATTGATAGAATCGAGAGTTCTGATAACCAGAGGGAGATTAAAGACTCAGGAGGTGTGTTAGTTACATATTTCTAACGCTTGTGTTTTATGTTCGGGCCAGAGATGAAGGTGAAAATTTTAGAGGTGATTCACCAAATAATGATCTCTAATTAGGATTAACAGATCACCAATATTTTCTGCTTTTTTCTTTTTTACTGAAAATGATGATGCAATTAGGGTTATTCACAAAAGTTCAGTGTGTATGGTCTTAGATTACTGAAGAATTTTGTTAAATATTTTGTTGTTACTGGTGGTTGAGTATTCTTAATTTTTTTAATGCATTTTATGGTGTCTTCATGATCTTTTTAATCTGGAAGCATTTGTAAGTTAGAATTTTGAAAACATAATTTACAAACAATTACTGAATTTGAGGGTTTAGTTTGAGAAGTTTTAAAGTGGTGTGTAACCATCATCCAAATACATTTCTCACACCCCAGCCAATTTCCCGGTGGTCCTTTATAGTCAATTCCCCCTGGGGCAACTACTTAATTTCTAGCACCTTAGATCTCTGGCATTTTCTTAATTGCTAAAGAAACAGTGTTACATGTACTATCTTAATCTAAATTCTGGATAACATAATTCCACCCAACAAATGACAAATGGATGATTAGAAATTCGTTTTGCTTTTTATAAAATTCTAACCTCCTTTTGTGTGAATGTTGAATGAAAGAAAACTTTTTATTCCTATTATGTGTCAATTAATGTTTTGGGGCCAGAAAGTCATGTAAGAAATGGTCTCTACTCTTAAGAAACTTAACATTTAGGAAGAAACTTGCATTCATCTTTCAAAATGTTTGTTTTGTCTGATCATGGCTTTTTTTCCCCTCCAGTTGTATTGAAATAATATTTATTGACAGTATTATTTTTAAATGCTATCATTTCTCTTGAGGTCATTGGGATATTTATTAGAAGAGCTTAAAGAAGATAGTTTAAGAGCCAGATAGTTTAAGAGCTTTTACTTTAATGAGACCATCTAGTGCTTGTGATATAAATACAAGCCTTGAGAGCAAGAGTATATTTGAGGTAACCCTGATGACTGAGAGTAAAACTTGTAAGTTTAGTGTTGGGAGTGTTGAAAATTTGGTTTCAACAAGGCTTACACTGCATATTTCTGAAGTTGAAAATTTCAACCCCAACTGAAGTACTTACTATCTGTTTGGAATTTAAAAATGTTGAGAACCTAGTTTGCAAAACATTTGATTATAACTGTTAAACTAATTAAGAAAATATTTGGCAACTTGATGAATGATACAGGTTCTTTGACAAGCTTTAGAATTGTAACATGCAGGAGTCCAGCTCCAGCCTAGGGGTGGGATACCCGAAGGTGCAGGATGGAGTTGGCATATGGAGGAGGTCTCTCGACAAAGTGCCGATGACAGCTTTATTTATACCATTTTGCACAAGGGTATGATTATTTTTTATTTGTTCTGTTGATTAATAAGTATAGGCCAGCTTTTTTCTTTCCATTTCTTTCTAATCTATACATGGTTAGTCAAGTGTTAGGTGATCTTTTTTCTGTTCCTTGACTTAAACTTGTGTCTCTCGTTTCTATGCAACACATTTTCTAAGTATTGCATGTGAGCGCAGAAGCGTGCAGCGTGTAGCAGTGACTATGGAGTCTTATCAGCTCGGGGTGAAATACAGGTCACTCACTGCTACAGTTAGCTAGAATTTTTTCCCACAAAAGTATTCTCAGAGGCTTTAATAAATTTATAATCAGTCTAAAATCATAAACTCATATCTTCACTATACACCTCTTCATAGGGCACAGCAGGCAGCAAAATAAATTTCCCTTTCTTATCTATATTTCTTTTTCTTCTGGGTGGACACCAAAATTTCCCTGATATATAATATGCAGGTCTCTATAGCTCTATTGTAGGGACTAAACAAATTCTTACATGGTGAACAGTGCAAGGGCATTCATATCATAGAAACTATTTGTTTTGATCGCGAATGATGAACTATAAACACTCAGATCAAATATAAATTTTCATTTATAAGTAGATGCAAGATAAAGATAGAAAGCATAATTTAGTGTTGTAAGAAGGCAAATGTAGATGATCAGGTCTGTGCCTATAGACTAGGTATTAATCCAAGTTAGATGAGGGCAACAAAATATCCACGGGTGTAGACAATTTCTCTCAAAACTGGGGGATGAGGTTCTAAGCCTCACCTCTGTTGGCCCCCATTTTCTCACCTGATGGCCCCCCTGCTACTGTGCCTGTCTTAGGTTGTTCCTCCCTTGAGGAATCATATCCATCTCTGGCTAACCAGCCATCTTCCGGGCCATACAGGGAGATGTAAAGTGAGAGAGAAGCAATATTCTTTGAAAATGTTAGCTTTTCACTTATTTGCAGATTTATGCCCCATGACTTCTACGCCCAGCACTTGTCTTGAGGTATTATTATCACTTGGAAGAATTATGGTACTTGGTAATTTCACGTATGAGGTACAAATTCTAATAAAGGGCTGTAATTAGGAAGGAAGAAGAAAAACTATAGAAGTAGCAGAGGGAAGAAAACATGAGAAGATTGATTGTCAGACAGGGTTATTCCATTCAGTATTTCCCTATAACTATTTCTCTAATTTTCCTATAAAACTCTTCATCACTAACTTCACTAGTATTGAAAAACAAAGGGGGGGCATTCCCACTTACGTGGAGATGGGGTAGTCAGTGTTTGACTAACTGTAGGTTTCAGTATTCTATGCCAAGATCGCCATCTGGCCTCTGTGTGTTCCATTCTTCAGGAGCACTGTCTTGTAAAGCTTCTGGGAAATTTATGTTCTCATCTCCTCTGTACTGCCTATCAAAGGTTAGCTTAGCCCTTGGCAACAATGCAAATAAAAGCAAGGCCAATAGTATAATGGAAAATAACAAAATCAAGGTGGGTGATAGGGGGAGCCAGCTGCGAAGGCCCCTGCTTTGTGGGGGTCTTCCTCCAGCCTGAGCTTTGCTACACAGCTTGAGTAGCATGGCTCCCGGCAGTAACAGTTAAGAAAAATCTACAAACAAGATGAAGACCAATTCAGCGAATGGAAGTTTAACTTTCTTGGTTTTGTAGTGATGACCTGAAATAAAATACTCATGATAGTGGTGTAATCAAGCCAATAATGAGCTTTTTTTAGTCTTTTAATTTGAATTATCTAGGAGTCTCAAAAGAAGAGTAAAGATGACCAGGAGCCATTCAATATATACTTGGTGGTAATAATTTGGGGAAAATGAACAGGGCTTGAAATAATTTCTTAGATTTTTTTTTGGTGAAACAAGTAGTAAATGGGACAAATACTCAAGAGTAATGCAGAAATGTACTAGATGAGGATAAACATATCTCCACAAATTGGTTGGTCAAGAATTGACCTGCTATACTGCCCATTCTTTAAGAAACCTGAAATAAAATTTGTCTTTGTCTTTTATGCTCAGTATATCTGTGTGTATATATATATATATATGTTTCCCTTTATGTTTATTTAATTTTTATTTTTTATTGGCATCATTAATCTACATTTACATGAGGAACATTATGTTTACTAGACTCCCTGTCACCAAGTCCCCACCACATACCCCATTACAGTCACTGTCCATCAGCATAGTAAGATGCTATAGAATCACTACTTGTCTTCTCTGTGTTGTATAGCTCTCTGCCTGCCCCCCTTCCCACTGTAAATTATGTCTGCTAATTGTAATGCCCCTTATTCCCCTTATCCCTCCCTCCCCATCAATCATCCCAGTCCCTTTCCCTTTGCTAACTGTTAGTCCATTCTTGGGTTCTGTGAGTCCGCTGCCGTTTTGTTCCTTCAGTTTTTTTCTTTGTTCTTATACTCCACAGGTGAGTGAAATCATTTGATACATTGTCTTTTTCCGCCTGGCTTATTTCACTGAGCATAATACCGTCTAGCTCCATCCATGTTGTTGCAAATGGTAGGATTTGTTTTCTTATAGCTGAATAATATCCCATTGTGTATATGTACCACATCTTTATCCATTCAGCTACTGATGGACACTTAGGTTGCTTCCGTGTCTTGACTATTGGAAATAGTGCTGTGGTAAACATAGGGGTGCATATGTCTTTTTCAAACTGGGCTGCTGCATTCTTAGGGTAAATTCCTAGGAGTGGAATTCCTGGGTAAAATGGTATTTCTGTTTTTAGTTTTTTGTATGAGGAACCTCCACACTGCTTTCCACAATACTTGAACTAATTTACATTCCCACCAGCAGTGTAGGAGGGTTCCCCTTTCTCCACCTCGCCAACATTTGTTGTTGTTTGTCTTTTGGATGGTGGTGATCCGTACTGGTGTAAGGTGGTATCTCGTTTTAATTTGCATTTCTCTGATGATTAGCTATGTGGAGCATCTTTCAATTTGTCTGTTGGCTTCCTTTATGTTTTAAGTTTGATGATTTTGTTTTCTATGTGAAAATTGGATTATCTCATGCCAGATACTTTTTTTAAAAATTTTTATCCGATAATAACTGATGATTGAAAATGTACTGTGTACCACGTGCCTTTCTTAGCATTCAAAGGTATTGACTTTAAATCATCATTTATGACTTTTAAATGATAATTTTGAGGTGATTGGGATTCTGTTGAATAAAACATTCTTTGTTAACTTTTGCTCATTTTATTTTTGGATCATTTGATCCCATCATAAAGTAGGCATATTTAGAATTTGTAGTTTTTGTGGTTTCTTTCAAGGGTACTAAAAATTGATTTGCTTTGACTAAACATAATAGTATCTGCCTGCATGTGAAAGCTGTATTTGTTTTCATTTATTACCCTTGAATCTAATATTGTCATACATAATGTTTTTCATCTTGCAATTGGAACACTCCTCAGTGGGTTTAATAACTTAGGAAGGATGCATGTTGAAAATACATATCTTTGAGATTCTTCTATTCAGTTTTTTAAGAAACCTGAATATTGGGAATAAAGACAAATTAATTCCTTACAGTGATTTTTTTTTCTCTAGTAACTCAATCTGGTGCAGTAAATTTTGAATGGATAAAATCGCACCTAGTCTGTATGGTTCCCTTTACATCTGCAATGTTTATTTCTTTATAAAACCAAGAATTGTTCAAGTGATCCTGTCTTTGAGTTGGTTTTAGTTGGTTTTAGCTAAACGATTTAAGTCTTCTCCCTTTCCACTTTCTCCCCTTAATACTTGATCTTTTAGGTTGACTATATTTGACATTTTTTCCCAGGTTGAATCGACCAAAGCAATGGTTATGGAGAAGCCTAGTCCCCTGCTGGTCGGGCGGGAATTTGTGAGACAGTATTACACACTGCTGAACCAGGCCCCAGACATGCTACACAGGTGAAACATTTTTTTCCCTTGCATTATCAGAAGTATTTCAGTATGTGGGTGCTTACCCTTGATTCACCTATCATACACCGTAAGTACCAATAAGTGATGGCTGATTAAAATTATGTAATATTTTTAAGTAGAATATAGAAATGTTATTTAAAAATTAGAATAAGCTACTTAAATTTACACATTATCAGAAAAATAATACCTGAAAATGTAAAGGTATAATCAAATTATTTGTTTCTGTATGCATCATTAATTATTTAGTAAGAATGTATTGACTGTTCTGTAGTAACATACTTTGGTGTTGATGTGCCTTTAAAAAATTGAATATCTTTTTAGTGGCAATAATATATACTTGTAAATTAAAATAGATTATGAAGTAAACATGGAAGTGTCTAGTAAAACCACACTAACAATTTTTTTGTGTATATGCAAACATTTATAATATACTGTCATTTAACTTTTACACTTAATAATCTGGGTGCATCTTTATAAGGGTAGCCACATATATCACTTTAATTTTAGTGTCTACAAAGTGTTTAATTTATGGAGATGTAGCATACCTTTCTTTAATCTCCCAATGATGAAATATATAGGTTGCTTCTGTTATTTCCTCTTACAAGCAGAAATGCTACATTATAGGAAACTTACCACTATTTATGTGGACTTGTTAGGATAATGTCCTAGAAATTCTAAATGTGTATTTGCTGGACTAGAGCAATTTTTTTTCTTTATATTTTAACCAGCTTACATATTGTCATGTGGTTATTTGGTGCAAAAGAAAATTTATAAATTCATTTTGAGCCCTTGTTCTGAAAGTGGAAAATATCTCGTGTTTTTTTAAAGCTTTACAGTTTCCAAAACATTTTCACTTTTTTACTCTTGATATTCACAAAATCCTTTCAGTAAGGCTTTGTAGGAGAGTTAACATTTTGCAGGTAAAATGCTAAGGGGCTGAAAATTTGCTGGTATTCACATGACTACTAAGTGATGGACCAAGTCTCCAGTTTGTTTTTTCCTTTTTGTTGTGTTTGATGTCAAGATTTTATACTGTGCATTTAGAAGTTAGATAAATTTGGAATTTGAAAAGGAGCAGAAGTTGAAAGAAACTAAATTCATTAATGTTTCTTGTCAACATTGCCATTTATTAATTCATACACCTTGTCTTTTTTTTTCATATCGTCTCTGAGGTATACCATCTTAGATATAATTAAAAGTGGATTAGCCAGCAGGGAATTGATTACTGGATGAAGTGCAGCCTTTTAGTAACTTTAAAAGTTGAAATGTGGACTTCGGATTCTTACAGGCCCATATGTGCCCCCTTTTGGGTGGGGGAGGTGAAACTGGGATTGTAAATGAATATGGGTGAACTCATTTGTGAAGAACTGTGTATCTGGAGTGCAGTTATCAAGAAATCCTAGTAGTCGTTATCCCTGGATTGTGGGGGACGGGGCAGAGTGTGTGTGTGTGCCTGTGCGTGTGCGCACGCATGCCTGTTTGATCAGTTATTTGTTGTAATGAACACAAAGTGATAGAGGGTAAGTTCTGGGGAATTAAATGGGATAACTCTGAGGCACTTAATGCATCAGCAAAAATTTGAAAAAATTTATAAAACCTACCTGTGTGAGTTACTGGGTTTTTAGTGGGAACTCCTGACAATGCATTCTCAGACATAAAAGGATTCAAGAGACTCTTTAAGTCTATGGAAAGTATAGATGTTTTCATCTATATCAAAATTGCCTGTTTTCTTGACTTACTTCAGAAACAGGAACTTCTGGATTAAGTGGCCTTCCTGCATGAAGTACCAGATCCTTCCTGCTGTGATCATCGTACCCTGAAACTTGTAACTTGTGAAATAAGTGTTCCATTCTCACTGACCAAATCTATTCTCATCCAGTAAAGTTGGCTGACATGTAAAGGATCGAGCTATGATTGCATACAAAGATGAAGAAGAAAACACATTCCTGCCTCCAAGAATCTGCCAGTGAGGCAGATAGGTACCAAACATGAATAATAAATACCTGGTCTTACGATAGGTGAAAATGACAAGTGAATTTTCTTCTCATTTTACAGATTTTATGGAAAGAACTCTTCATACGTCCATGGGGGACTGGATTCAAATGGAAAGCCAGCCGACGCAGTATATGGACAGAAAGTAAGAATATCAAGCTTTTTATGTAGGCTGTTAGGCAGTTAGAAAATAACCCATAATATAAGTTGGTCATGGGGACAGTAGTACAACATGGAGAATATAGTCTGTGATTCTGTCAGATCTTTCTATGTTGATAGATAGTAACCTCATAAGAGGGAATGAGGGTTTAATAATACGGGTACCTGTTAAACCACCACTGTGTTGTACATTTGAAACCAATATAAGATTGTATGATACTTGAATAAAAAGAAAATTTTTGAGATGGATACATGGCTTAATAGATCAGTTGATATTTAAAGATCAAATTTCTCAACCTCTTTTTAGAAATACAGGTACTCAGTAACTATTTGATTAATATGACAAACATCAAAAAGATTATGTCACATTTGCTCATTTTGTATGATAGGTTTTGTGTGTGTGTGTGTGTTATGAGGTAATTGGTTTTAGCATGGGGATCATTTGTTACATTTCCCTTAGGTATGTTAATTCAGGACGGTTATTTTACAAGGCTCAAGGTAGTCTCTGGGAGTATATTATACTAAGCCAAATTGGAGTAGGGTCTATGTAGTTTGTAATTTAAACATGCAAATTTCTCTTTACCTGTATTGTGTGGGAAAGTTTTTTTTGTTGTTGGAGATTATGAATTTTAAGGCATTAACTCTTGTTTTGATTCCTTAGGAAATTCATAGGAAAGTGATGTCACAGAACTTCACCAATTGTCACACTAAGATTCGCCATGTTGATGCTCATGCCACTCTGAATGATGGTGTGGTGGTCCAGGTGATGGGGCTGCTCTCTAATAACAACCAGGCTTTGAGGAGATTCATGCAGACATTTGTCCTTGCTCCTGAGGTATGAAAAAGAAACAATGAAGGGTTGTGGGTATCTTTAAAAACTGTTTATTTTGAAAATACAAACTTACAGAAAATTTGGAATAATAATACAGTAATTCCCACATACTCCTTACCTAGAGCCACTGTTAACACTTGTCCATATGTTTATAATTCTTTGTTTACCTGTCATTCTTAATTCTAAACAATTTGGAAATAAGTTGGAGACATCATGCCTAGTTATACTCAAATACTTAAATGAGCATTTCCTAAGAATCAGGAATTCTATTCCAAAACAATAGTGCAGTTACCAAATATAAGAAGTATCGATGTAATACAATTATCAGTCACCACTCCATAATTTTGTAATCTACAGTCCAATTTTGGTAATTGTACTAATATTGTCCTTTATAGTAAATTTTATTTTCCTGGTCCAAGAATCAATCCAGAATTACACATTGAGTATAGCTGTTGTGTCTTTTCAGTCTCCTTTCATCTGCAATAATTCCTAATCTTTTGTTTTTCATGGCATTGACATTTTTAAATAGCACTATCAAATTACTTTGTTGAACATCTCAGTTTTGAATTGTCTGTTTCCTTGTGATTAGATTTAGGCTATATACATAAAAGTGCTTCATATTAGGGAGGCACCCGGTACTAGTCCTGTTAGTGATGTTAACCATAATCACCTAACTAAGGTAATGGTCACCAGCTTTTGCAGTTCTAAATTTAGTACTTTTACTTTTCTCAGAACTAAACTGGGGGTGATTCTTTGAGACTGTGTAAATACCCTGTTCTTCATCAAACTAGTGCACTAGTTTTAACATTCACTGATGATTCTTGTCAGAATCACCTTCTACTCTGATGGTTAGATGGCGATTATCTAATTCTGTTATTAATAGTTGGCCTACTGTAAAGAACTTTGTCTCCTATCTGTTATCATGGATAGAGTCTTTGTTAATGGGTTAAATCCATTAAATAAATTTTACATGGATGTCTAGAATGTCCCAGGTCTGGTAAGTTTGGAACCCTTCAATCTGGCTTCTGTTTTCTTTCTTTGTTTAGCACTTTGTAACTTTGTGGCACAGTTATCTCAGGCTCATCTTGCACGGTCCCTGATTTCAGCCCCAGCCTCAAATGTTCAGGAGCCTTGGTTCTTTTTTAATGCTTATCAAAGGACCATAGGTTTGTGTTGAATAATTAATTGAATTTGTATTGTCTTTCTGATGGTCCACATTGAACAATCAGGAAGCCAATCTGCATAGTATATGGAAGTGACTCAGTATGGACTTAAAGATTTTCTCTAGCAATACTCGAGATAATATTTTGTTTAGGGTAGTGAATCTAAAGCCCCTTTCATTTTCCTATTGAATAATAACTTGATTATTTGAAAAACTACATGAAGCCATTTTAGTCACTGTTTTTAGAGTAAAGCTTAGATTATCGACAGTGTAAAACTATTGGTGGGCTTCTAAATATGCAAAGAATCATGTGGGATGTGATTACCAATCAATTACAAGTTTACTTACAGTTCCATTTTCCTTTAAAGGAAGAATCTAAAATTACCTTAATAAGGTGTCTCATTTAATACACTCTTTACTGGTGAGGAAGAATCTCTAGAAATTGAATAACTAGGAAATGACATGGTTGGATTTATATTCAGTTGTGTCTTATACCTAGTATAGGCAAATTTTTTTGGCTTGAGTGCTTGTATTGATACTCTTGGATGCAGATTTAGGTGATTTTAAATGTCTGCTGCCATTGGTAATAATTACTTACTGTTCAGGAAATGATTTGAGGTGTGGTCTCTGGCATTTTACTTATATAGAGCTTTACCAATTTTGGAAATCCATCTGGTGATAATTTAAGCAAGCAATATATTTGGGTGTAGCCATACTATAGAGCAGGATTTTTCAGCATTGGTGCTATTAACATTTTAGACTGAGTAATTTCTTGTTGGGGCGTCCTGTGCATTACAGGCTGAAAGCATCCCTGTACTCTCTGCTCAGTAGTTGCCAGCTGTATTCCCCGACATGAAAACTGAAATGTGTCCAGTCATTGCTGTGTCTCCTTAGGATTGAGAAGAGAGTATTACCCTCAGTTGAGAACCACTGGTGTTAGGGTGATTTATTTGGCTTTTAAAAAGTCTACTGGGTAAATGAACACTTTCTGTTGGCATTGTAGGGCTCTGTTGCGAATAAGTTCTATGTTCACAATGATATCTTCAGATACCAAGATGAAGTCTTTGGTGGCTTTGTTACTGAGCCTCAGGAGGGTAAGTTATGTGGCTAAACCTTTTTTGATGGCATCAGATTGACCTGAAGAAAATATGGGTTCGTTTCTTGAATGTTTTCATTATACTCTATTCTTTAATAACAACTTCTCTAATTGTCAAGACATACAAAGGGTTTAATATCCAGAGCTGCTGTAGTAACAGTTTAGGCTACTAATGGATATTGGTAGAATACAGAATGCGTAGTCATAAGCACATGGGTTATTACTCATAACAACAATGGTAGCATTTTTGCCAGTTTCCACAGGACACCATGAAGAAGTCCAGATGGTACCTGAAGTGCAGTGAGGTGCATTACAAGAGTGGAGCCATAAGTTTTAGGAAACAAACCTTTGATGATGTGTAGTAAACACACCTGTCCTTTGCTCTGGAGGGAGACTTTATTTCCCAGGACTGTTTGCTGTATAAATGTTACTAAAAGATAATCTGAAATAAAGGGTAGCCGTTGCCTCAATTTAAGATGTGCAGAAACACAAGAGACCCATGAAGAATTGTCTCCAAACACTAACAGTAATTGGTATTTTAGTGTTTTATATGGCTAAGTCTACGTACTTTATATTTATTGTGTAACAATACAACAACTTTATAGGTAAGTACTTCAGGCAGCCTTGTTTCCATTTAATAGAGTAGGGCACTGAGGAGTCTGTGTGGAATTATGGATAATATGATCTAAGATTCCATTTCTTTAACTATAGTAGCCTTACTTCTGTCCTTAGAGCTATGCCATGATTCTACCAAACTGCTCTGTTGTCTTTACTTTTATATATGTATGCTTTTCTTTATTGCCTTTCTGATCATGATGTTTGAAAGTGAGTATATTTGAATTAAGTAACCACAAATTTAAATTTCTTTTTTCATTTAGAATCTGAGGAAGAAGTAGAGGAACCTGAAGAAAGACAGCAGACACCTGAGGTTGTACCTGATGATTCTGGAACCTTCTATGATCAGACTGTCAGGTAAGGAAAACTTTGCTCATCTGCAGAACTGCATGTGAATTTGAGTTCAGGTTTTTCCTTTGTTGGAAGGCAGGCATACGTTACCTCAAAATAAAGGTCATTTTCTAAAGGAAAGGTCTTGTTTTTGGTGTGGGAGCTAACAAGTACATAACTCTTTAAATATAGATTGCATTGTAAGGACTACTGAAGTAGTATCCATCAGTTGCTGTTTGGTTCAGTGTTTTCGTTGCAATGGGTAAAAAATAGATTCGGGATTTCATTTTGAAATTTTGAAATTAGTAAATTTAAATGGAAGAATAACTGATAAACAACACTGCATTAGTGTCAGGTGTACAACATAGTGCTACTCAGTATTTTTATGCATTATGAAATATAGTTATCAGTCACCATACAGAGTTGTTGCAGAAGTTTTGACTATATTCCCTATGCTTTACATTACATCCCCATATCTTATTTCATAACTGGGTGATTGTATCTTTTAATACCCTTTACCTGTTTTTTCCCATTCCCTCACCCTTCCTCCCACTTGCATTGATCAGTTTATTCTCTGTATCTATGAGTCTGTTTCTGTTTTGTTGGTTTATTTTTTATACAAGTGAAATCATAAAATATTTATCTTTCTCTGGCTTAATTTCACTAAGTGTAATACCTTCTAGGTCCATCCATGTCTTAAATCAAGATTTCACTTTTTAATTGCCTAGCAATATTCCATTGTGTATATATACTACGTCTTTATCCATTCATCTATTAATGGTCATTTAAGTTTCTTCAGTTATCTTGGCTTTTAAATAATGCTGAGGTGAACATAGGGGTGCATATGTATTTTTGAGTTAGTGTTTTCATTTTTTTCAAATACATACCTACAAGTGGAATTGCTGGATCCTTTGGTAGTTCTATTTTTAAATTTTTGAGGAAACCACCCACCCACCGGAGTGTATTCCATAGTGGTTACACCAGTTAACTTTCCCACCAACAGTGTATGACGGCTCCCTTTTCTCCACATCTTTGCCAATGCTTGTTATTTCTTGTCTTTTGAATAGTGGCCATTTTGATTGGTGTGAGGTGGTATGTCCTTGTTGCTTTGATTTGCATTTCCCCAATGATGAGAGTGATGTTGAGCATCTTTTCATGTGCCAATTGGCCATCTGTATGTCTTTGGAAAAATGTCTGTTCAGGCCCTCTGCTCATTTTTTAATTAGGTTTTTGGTTTTTCTTCTTTGATAATGAATTTTGAGTTTTTAAATATATTTTGGATATTAACCCCTTATCAGATACATCATTTGCATTATATCCCATTTAGTAGGTTGCCATTTTGTTTTGTTGATGGTTGCCTTTGGTGAGCAGAAGCCTTTTAGTTTGATGTAGTCCCACCTGTTTATTTTTGCCTTTATTATCTTTGCCTTAGAGGACAGGTACAAAAAAATAATCACTAAGATAAATGTCAGAGAGCTTACTCCTCATGTTTTTTTCCAGGAGTTTGATTTCAGGTCTTAAATTTAAGTCTTGATTTTATTTTGAGTTTATTTTTGTGTATGGTGTAAGAAAGTGGACCAGTTTCATTCTTTTGCATGTAGCTGTCCATTTTCACAGTGCCCTTTACTGAAGAGATTGTCCTTTTCCCATTGTGCATCCTTGCCTCCTCTTGTCATAGATTAATTGACCATATAAGTGTGGGTTTATTTCTGGGCTCTCTATTCGTTCCCTTAATCTGTGCTCTCTTGTGTTACTACCATACTGTTTTATTATAGCTTTGTAGTGTAGTTTGAAATCTGGTAGTGTGGTAACCTCTGTCCTAAGATTACTCTGGTTATTTAGGGTCTTAGGTTTGGGATTTCTTATCAAGTATTTAACCTATCAATGAATTGCATTAAGTACCTTGGGGGAAGTATAAAGTATATCAAAACTTATTTAGAGATCAGTCATAAATTGATAGAAATTCAGGCTTGTTTTAAGTAACAGAATTTCATTGATTAATATGCAGTAGATGTGTGTAATCAGATCATAAATGTGTGGGTATATATATCTTAGGCTTTTCCTGCAACCAGAATAGAAATGTGTTTGACAGGGATAAAAATTAATATTTAATTGTTGTGGTTTGACACCCTTAATACTAATTAATATTAATGGTCAATATTCAATGCTTAAAGGATATTCTCAAATGTTTTCAGGATGTAATGATGGATTAACCACATTACTTAACCTGGGTTGCTCGTCACCCTATCCAATTGGAATTTCAGGGGAAAAACATCTGCAGCTTCAACAAACATTACCGTGATTTATGTAGAAGTTGTAGAACTGCTATTCTAAATCATAACCAATGTCTTTTTCTCTATAATTTCCTGTGTTTTTATTTATTATGAGAGACTTTTTTGAAGTTAAAAGCCATACAAAACAAAGTTTATGTACCTTCTTAACCATTTTTATGCATACTGTATAGTAGTGTCACCTATGCACATAGTTGTGTAACAACAGATCTGTAGAATTTTTCATCTTAGAAAATCAAAACTGTACATATTGAGGAATTCCCCCTTAGCCCTCTCTCTACAACCTGTTAAGAGTTTCGTGATGTGTGATAGGGAAATGTAATAGTTTTGGGATTCTGAGAAATAATGGTTTGATCAATTTTGATGGATTTGCTTATTAGAGTTTGGCAAATCTCACTGCAGTTAAAATCTGCTCATTTAGTACTTTTGTAAAAAGTCTTGTTTTGATACTCAGATATATAATTCTTAGATCTTTTAGGAGGGAGGGAATCCTTTGGGGTTCTGGTCTCTATAGGTAATAAATATTTGGGAATTTCTTGCCAAATCAGTGGAGGCAGATTGATACTTCTCAATTTTTCTGTGAAAGCAATGACTTGGAAGAACATTTAGAGGAACCTGTAGCTGAACCAGAGCCTGATCCTGAACCAGAGCCAGAGCAAGAGCCCATAGGTGAAATCCAAGAGGAAAAGTCTGAGCCAGTATTGGAAGAAGCTGCCCCTGAGGACGCTCAGAAGAGTTCTTCTCCAGCACCTGCAGACATAGCTCAGACAGTACAGGAAGAATTGAGGGTATGTGACATGTCTTCATTTTTATTCTATTTCTTGTTTTAAAAAATCCTCCTCCTCCTTTACTGTTGTTACATTGACTTTTGTAGATGCATTTTCATTTGATCAGAGAAATTTCTTAAATATTGAGCCTGACTCAGATAAGTAAGATGCATATTATTTTAAAAATCAAAAGTAACTTTTTTCACCTTTAAGGAAATTTGAATAGCTTATCAACCAGAAATTTCCAGTGCTGTTTTATCACCATATCAACAGCCCTCATCTGTGTAATACTTCATCCTTCATATTACAAATCATTACATACTAGTTACAACGGTGATAATAATCTGTCTTTAAAAGTATGTCATGGCACAATAGACTTTACCCTGCCTGTTTCTATGAAACCTAACTGATCATAACTTCATAGTAGAAGTAAAAACAAACTGCTGAAATTACAACTACTTTTCTAATTGGAATACCTGATTTCAAAAGTTGGAGAACTTTCAGTTACTCCTAAATCACATTAGGATAATGATAACAACTCAAAGAATCTTTACATTGGGTGCTCTGTGAAGGAATATGCTTTAGTGCTGTGTTTATGGGGCCAGGGTTCTTTTAATTTCATTTATCAAGTGCCTATGTGCTAGGCATTGTTATAAGTACAGGAACTGTTGGTAAAACAGATAAGGTTCTTGGTTCTCTGGCTGTTATTACGTAAGTAGGAAAGAGAAACGGTGAAATGACTTTAGCTTGCAGGTAAAAAAGAAGGCCTAGATTGACAAAGGATGACCAAGTGGGTGGCTATTATAGTAGTTCTGGAGAGAGATTATGGTATCTTGGGTTAGGGTTGTAGTGGACATGGAGAGAAGATAATTAAGAGGTAAATAAAAATATGGTGATTTGGATGTGGGTTGAAAAGGTGTTCAAGATAATTCTAAAGATGAGGTAGTTGGGTCAGTGTTTGTACCATAGACTGGCGGAATCACTGGATGAACTGGTTTTGGAGGAGAGAATATTCTTTGATGCATGAACTTGAAATTGAGTGAAAGTAGCTTAGACTCTAAACTTATAATAATTTGCTGATACTTGATGAGTCATGCTAAGGACATTTAGTACTAAATTGTAGGTAAGGAGAAAAAAGGCACCTCAAGATAACTTGTAAACTCTACCGTGCTTATGAAAATGTGATTCATGTATTAGGTACAAGAAATCAAGAGCTAGTAGCTTTTATATTATTTTGGTAAATGGTTTAATCAATCAGTGTTGGTGTTGTTACCTCAGACATTTTCTTGGGCATCTGTGACCAGTAAGAACCTTCCACCCAGTGGAGCTGTTCCAGTTACCGGGATACCACCACATGTTGTTAAAGTACCAGCTTCACAGGTGAGTTTCTAATTAAGCTTGTATATTAGGCATATTTACTTGTGTTTTGTATAATGTGGTTTCTGAGGTTTAGAGAATATATAAACTGGTACATAGGGCAGAGGAGAAGAGTACAAGGTAGTTTTTAATTTTTGTGCATGTGTGTGAGAAAATGTCATTTTGTAGTTTAACCTTACATTAGCTAAGAAACTTCAAGAAAAAGGTGAGCTTGTTACACAAAAGTTAACATACATTTTTCAGCCTCGTCCAGAACCTAAGCCTGAATCTCAGATTCCACCACAGAGGCCTCAGAGGGATCAAAGAGTACGAGAACAACGAATAAACATTCCTCCCCAGAGGGGACCTAGACCAAGTAAGAGCTCAAGGGTGACTTCCCTAGTTTGGGGGATTTTGAGGTGAGAGCGTATTTTGGGGGATTTCATTAATACTTGTGTACTTAAATTTATTTTGTGGAGTTGATAGAATTACCTGTATTTAGACTTGAAAATTACTGAATGGAATAGTCACTGAAAGGTGTCTTTCTGTCTTTCACTGCTGTTTTTATTTCTTCTTAATTTAAGTTCGTGAGGCTGGTGAGCAAGGTGATGAACCCCGCAGAATTGTGAGACACCCTGACAGTCATCAGCTGTTCATTGGCAACCTGCCTCATGAGGTGGACAAATCAGAGCTTAAAGATTTTTTTCAAAGTAGGTTACTGAATTTAAACACTAGATTCATCTAAGGCAGTGCTTTGCAATAAAAATAGATGGGCCGCAAATGTTTAAACAATTTTTATTTTTTATTGAAGGATTGTTGATATACAATCTATATTGTTTTCAAGTGTATAATACAGCAGTTCAGCAGTTACATATATTAATCCTCACTCTCCACTAGTGTGGTTACTATGTGTCAACATAGAAAGATGTTCTTGAATCATTGTATTCTCTGTGTTTACTACTGTCCTCATGACCAGCTTGTATTATGCTTGGGAATTTTTTGTGTCCCTTTATCCTCCTCACCCTCCTCCTTCACCTACCCTAACCCCTCCCCCATGGTAACCACTAGTCACTTCTCAATACCTATAAGTCTATTGCTCTTCCATTCATTCTGTTTTGCTTGGCACAAATCTGATTTTAAGTTTTCAAGTAGTTACATTTTTAAAAGTAAAAAGAAACTGGAGAATTCTAAAACATCATTTCAGAAAGTAAAAAAATACATGAGGTATTTTTCATTTTTTGCACTAAGTCTTTGAAATCTAGTGCCTATATCACACAACATAAGGCATGTCTTACTACAGACGAGCCACGTTTCAAGTGGTTGGTAGCCATTTGTGAGTAGTGACTGTCATATTGGACAGTGTGCATGTATTATTTAAGGGAAATGTTCTAAAAAGAACATTACTTGAGGATCTGTCTTTCTCTTACAGGTTATGGGAATGTAGTGGAGTTGCGCATTAACAGTGGTGGGAAATTGCCCAATTTTGGTTTTGTTGTGTTTGATGATTCTGAGCCTGTTCAGAAGGTCCTTAGCAACAGGGTAAGCAGGTTTTCACTTTTATTTATTTTTTAAACTAACAGTGCATTTTGACTCTTAGAATGTGTGTTCATCCTTATAACTGTGTCTTCTTGTTGATAAAGTACAATTTATTCTAACATGTTTGTATAATATAGTTTATCACATTCATCATTATTATCAAAAGACCTGTCTGGGAGTTCAGGAAAAAAACTTCTCTCTAAAAAACTTAGGATTTGAGTAAGTGATGAAAATTGAATAACTAATAGTTAACAGTGCACTGAGATCTATGTGAATTTCTTTTCTTGGTGGTAGTTTCTGGTGTAGAAGATGAAATTCAATGTTACTTTTAGCTAAGATAAATTAAGAGCCAGTTTGCTTAGAGCAGTCTTAATTATCTGGGTATAACTGAGGAGTTTCTCCTTCTCTAAGTTGGGTTTGAAGTCATCCTATCTGGAACCACCCTTACCAACAGTGTTCATACAAGTACTTTCTCATAATAGAGGGATTTGTAGAATTGGAATCTTAACTGCTGTGTAGTTCTTAGGGAACTCACCTTCCCCCACATCTTTGATTAGTAAAACTACTTTCTGTAATAGTAGTAGTAGTAGAACAAGAGTGCAAATATTGTTAATTTACTGAGATGGATGTAGGGTTTTTAAAGCCCTGCTTTAACCATTTTAAAGTGTACTATTAAGTGGTGTTTGCAGCTCTCACCTACCCAGTTAGAAAACATTTTCATCAAAAGCCAGCCCCTTAACCGGAAGCAGTCCCTCCCCATATCTTCTCTTCTTAGCCCCTGGCAACCATTAATCTACTTTCAGTCTTTGCAAATGAAAACTACACTTTCTGTAATAGAAACCTAGATCATGATTTCCCATAGGTTCTTCAGGACCTCTGGTGGTCTCCCAGATATTAATGGGTATACTGTGAAGTGTAATGTTGTGGTCATAACATTATATGAGCCTTACTCTGCAAGTGTGTATTGCCTTTCAGTCTGTTTGACTAGTATTTTTTTGAAGCATCTGCAAAACACAAAAGAGAACAGTGGCTTCCTTCGCTAAGATCACAGAATACTGAATCCAAAAATGTCCAGGAGGATTTGTGCTTAAATCCATCATTCAGCAATAAATGGATTCCATGGTCAACTTTTTTGGTGCAGTCTTGAATTCATACTTCCTCATAGGGACTAAATTCCCAGTGGGTCAAACGAGGCTAGATCTGATAACTGGCTTCCTTGTTAATTGTCCAAGACAGGGTTGTTTTCATTTACTTAATGCATGTGGGTAAGCCATAACATCTTTATGCGTAAATGATTTACGCATTTACCATTTCCTTAGTAAGGGCTGTATGTCTGCTACCTTCATTCAGAGTCCTTCTACCCTAGTGGTAACTCCTCAGACATGTCTTTCATAACTACCTTTTAAAACACCTTCGGTTTCAGTCTCTTTCCCTTTATTTTTAAGACTTTAATAATGGTTTTCTTTTTCTCATTGTATATAGAACATTGGCTGGAACAGTGCTTCAGATGTATGTGTGTGAAGTGATTGATATAGTGTGTTTATTTTTTTAAAACTATAATTATGTTAAATTTAACATTTATAAATATAAACTTGTTAATCAGAATTTAAAATATACATCAGAATTAGCTCAAAAGAGGCCTGTTGTATATTTTATTTTGTGGTGTTTTCTGTGTGCAGTTTTCCTCATGTACTTTCAGATCACTCATACTTCGGTCACTTCAAAAGTAGCTTGCCTTTCCCTGATTTCACTGCGCTAGTAGAAATCTACCATACTCCCTTCAGTGATTTTTTTATGGGTACAGAAACTTCTTAACAAGACTGATGACCATGGTGTGTGACATGTGATCAAAGTGTAGAGTGGTGCTTCAGAGCTTTTACTTCCCAGTCAGGATGCCTTCGTGTACATTCCTTTTCTTCACTCATTAGCACTGTAACCCAATGCAGTAAGTTCCTTAACCAACTTGGCCCTTAGTTTGTTGGTTTCTAAAATAGGCCTTACAATCCTGAGAAGGGTTATTGTGAAGACTGAATAAGATAATAAATGAAATACATTGAACACTTCATAGTATGATACATCTTAAAAAAATATTTCAGATAGAAAGCCAGTGAATGCCAGTGATAAGCATGGAATCCTGAGTAATGTTTTGTTTTCTCCTTCAGTGCTATTGGGCAAAAAGAAGGCCCAAGACCTGTTGTGGATGTGTATCGTTTTTTTCCTTCACTAAGGTTATATTAAGATTTTCCAAAATCCTCTTAAAGCAAATAGAATTTTGAAATGTTATATTTAGGTGAAATTAATGATGTTTTTGAAAGATATATATGTAGTTTGCATAAATACGTGCAGCACAATCTTTAATAGGTGCTGGCGGGGTTTTATTCTAAGCCTCCAAATCCATGGAGAAGGTGGCATTTTTTATATTCTATTTACATAATTCAATGGGAAGGTTAGATTTGTTTTAGTAAGTGCAGTGAGAGCTTGTGCTGTGTAAATTAACTTCCTTGAACTAGTCTGCATACCTAACCCCTCCTTTCTGTGTATGTGTTAATGGGAAAATTATGTGTTGAGAGTTCAAAACAAAAACTGAACTGTGAGAAAATAGCTGATTTGTAAGCTGCTGGTTCTTCATAATAGCTTTGTTTTATCTGTGATAGTCTGCTCACCTTGTCTAAGTCTGTCCACCTTAATTGTTACAGCCTATCATGTTCAGAGGTGAGGTTCGCCTGAATGTGGAAGAGAAGAAGACCAGAGCTGCCCGGGAAGGGGACCGTCGAGAAAACCGCCTGCGGGGACCTGGAGGCCCACGAGGTGGGCTGGGTGGTGGAATGAGAGGCCCTCCCCGTGGAGGCATGGTGCAGAAACCAGGATTTGGAGTGGGAAGGGGAATTGCTCCAAAGCAGTGAATTGCTCTTCACTGATCTATACGCAGCAGTACAAACGTTAGCTCCAGCGGTTTATATAAACTGCTATTATAAACTGCTTCAGTTTGTACAATTTTTGTGTTAACGGTGTGTGCTCCCTCCCTATCCCTTCCCTCTCCTGACCTTTTAGTCCTTCACTTCCAATTTTGTGGAATGATATTTTAGGAAAAATGAATTTTTAAAGAAGAAAAAAAAAAGACTGAATTTCCTTGCTTTACTTTTGCATATACAGACTGGATTTTTTTTAACAGCCGTTTTCCCAAAGGAATGTGTCTTGCTTATTACTGACGTGAAGTACAGGATTTGATATCTTGGAGGCAGGAAAAACCCAAATTGTCTCTTCTTTGAGTTATGACAAACTTCTGGTATGGAGAGATTGCCATTGGAAAAAATGACAAATTTTGATTCTCACTGATGTAGTTAAAAACTGAATAAATGGTGTTAGTGGAATTTTTCTTTTGTTATGTGATCACAAAGCAACTCTTAAAACCTATTGTTTTTACCATTGAAATTTAAATTGTGAGATAGGTTTTAAATGTGTAGAATGCAATGAACTTAATAGGTTTTTTTTTTGAAGTAGAGTTTCTTTCATGTTTAATTTGTATTTGCTGAAAAAAACAACAAAATCCCCAAAAACCAAAACCCCAAATCTGAATAACACAAAACCAGTGCAGAACTGTTGTGCCTTCTATTTATCTTTGATTCCAGTCTTGGCAATTGTTTAAAGAAAAAATAATAAAAAAACTAGGTTTGTTTTACCAGGCTCAGAGTATGTTGGGACGAAATCCCTCTTCCACCTTGTATACTGAAATTGAATCTCAACTGGAATGCCTTTGAAGACAGATGCTTCTGTAAGAGGTCCTTTGACCTAAATAGCTCAGCATTTGTAGTTTTTCAGTATCTGTTCAGAAGCCTAATCATACATAAGAAGGAATGTGACTTTAACATTGGACTTCACTGATGTGCTTGAGTGTCTGCTAGTTTTGTTTTCTTTAAATCATAGCCATGGTAAATTGTCTATTTTGTTAAAGTTGTCTTCTGTTGATGGGCATGCAGTGGGTGTTTCTTGGAAATGGCCAATTTTTATTAAAATTTCTGGAAGAAAATTAATCTGGCAATACAGATTAATGTTTGTTTTAAATAGTATGTTGTATTTTGAGTGCTGTGTGGGGTGGGTGAAGGTTTTGTGTACACATTTGTGAAGCAACCCTTGATATGATAACTTGTCATTACTAATTGAAGGGTGATGAGGTCAAATTTAACTTATTTTCTTAACAGTGTTCATCTTTAGGACTGTTTGAGTATAGTCTATGAGTAAGAAGAGGAAATGTTTTGGTGTTACTGGAAAACTAGGTTTGCTGAAGTCTTAAACTAAAATGAAGTCTAATGTTATTAGTTGGTCCCCAGTACCTCAGATAATTGAGAATTTGCAACATCTCTTTCACAAAAAGAAACTTAAATAACTTGAGTCACATAGCTATTTTTGGGTCAGTTTAAGTAACTTTGGTGTAACCATTTGACCCAGACCAGTGGTAATGGGAAGAAATTCAGCTTGTGCTTTTGTAGCTTATATTAAGCTTGTGATGGAAAGAAACTTAGCTTGAGTTTTTTAAGTTTGAGTTACAGTAAGATCATAAATCATGGGTAACTTAGAAGTCACTTTTCGCAAGTGAATACACATTTCAAAATAGGCGTTCTGTGTACTCAGAGATTTAATGGCACTAACTAAATAATAGTGGTTCTCAATCTGGGGCTGTTATATCCTAGAGTACCTTTGGGAAGGTATGAGATTTGGGAGGGTGGTAGCTGAGTCTGGCATTTAGTGGGTGGGGTCCAGCTATGCCAAAGTTAAGTAACAGTGAAGTGACCCCATTGAGAATGTGGACAGTCCCTGTTCCTATAGTGCATTGGAGGTGGGGCAGTGGGTTAGGACAACGAAGGTGAAGGCTCATTCCTTTGAAATACAGCCTCAGATAAACAAACAGATTGATTATTAACTGGAAATCTTTTCCAGGAATTACAGTAACATCTACTGGAAGTAATGACACTTTATTTGTACCAATTGTACGGTTTTTTTAAAAAAGAAAATTGGAGACGCAGTAGCATTAGGTGCTGCTTTTAACTTGTAGGGAACTACTGCATACTTTCCGAAAACAAAACGTTGCCTCAGTAATTTCAAGTCATCAGAATGAGATGATTATGGAGTTTTGAATAGCATTGGACTTTGTAAATAGGGTTTAGTATTAACACTATTAAGAACCCTGTTATCGTAGTTTACATTACTGTTGATAAACTAAACACCCTAGAGATACATGTTTTCACAAGTAGAAAAATAAGTTAGGGCAAGATTTTCCATAGGCAGCCCCAGCTCATCACATTCAATCTTTTTTAGGTTTTAAAATAAAATTTTATCTGTAAATATGGCCCAATGTACAGTTCTTTTCTACTGAACTTAAAACCTTCGCCCATGTGTATTAAATTAGCTAAGTGGGATTACATTGGCTCATTGGGGTTTAGTCTTCACCTGTGTTGAAATTAAATAAGGTCTTGGGCCTTACAGTAGTACTTTTGTTTGCTTTTATGGTGAAGTTGGACTTGTGTATTCTTGTGTTCTCAATCTTTGAGCAATTGCTGGGGAGCAGGAAGTAGATAATCTAAAAATAATTATTTGGCCTTGGAAGAGTAGGTTATAACCACAGTGTTAGTTGAATTGCACTTTAGTTTTAGCAGCTTTCACAACTATGCTGTGGATTGATAGATGCTGTTTTTCCCAAAGTAATAGATGAAGAAATGGCATAAAACAGATGACAGGGCCTCCAAGGATCCATTGTAGCCAGGAGCAGATTGGCCTCCAAAACATGCTTTTTCTTTAGAACGATTAATGTCTTATCTGTTGACTTTTGAATGACATACTAAGGGACTAGGACATGACCATAACAAATTACTGCAGTATAGAGAGACTGGAGTCTGTAAAACATTCAGACCAAGGTTAGCATTACTGTTCTCTATTTCCTTAAGGGTCAACAAGTAAACACTGATTTTGTGTGGCTTGCTTTGATTTGCAGAATACATGGTAACAGTAATAATGACTTGTTCTTAGATTATTTTCTCATCTGTGTAATACTACATGTACAGTTGAAATTTGGATATGGAACATAACAATGTTTTTATTATAGCATAATGCAGGTGAGTTTATAGCGGTTTTGTGTTGTGCTTCTAACTGCCATCCTTTGATACTCTTTCATCTCCTTGAAAACCCTTGTAGAATTTAATGATTTAGTGGAAAATACATTCAATCTTTTTTAGGTTTTAAAATAAAATTTTATCTGTAAATATGGCCCAATGTACAGTTCTTTTCTACTGAACTTAAAACCTTCGCCCATGTGTATTAAATTAGCTAAGTGGGATTACATTGGCTCATTGGGGTTTAGTCTTCACCTGTGTTGAAATTAAATAAGGTCTTGGGCCTTACAGTAGTACTTTTGTTTGCTTTTATGGTGAAGTTGGACTTGTGTATTCTTGTGTTCTCAATCTTTGAGCAATTGCTGGGGAGCAGGAAGTAGATAATCTAAAAATAATTATTTGGCCTTGGAAGAGTAGGTTATAACCACAGTGTTAGTTGAATTGCACTTTAGTTTTAGCAGCTTTCACAACTATGCTGTGGATTGATAGATGCTGTTTTTCCCAAAGTAATAGATGAAGAAATGGCATAAAACAGATGACAGGGCCTCCAAGGATCCATTGTAGCCAGGAGCAGATTGGCCTCCAAAACATGCTTTTTCTTTAGAACGATTAATGTCTTATCTGTTGACTTTTGAATGACATACTAAGGGACTAGGACATGACCATAACAAATTACTGCAGTATAGAGAGACTGGAGTCTGTAAAACATTCAGACCAAGGTTAGCATTACTGTTCTCTATTTCCTTAAGGGTCAACAAGTAAACACTGATTTTGTGTGGCTTGCTTTGATTTGCAGAATACATGGTAACAGTAATAATGACTTGTTCTTAGATTATTTTCTCATCTGTGTAATACTACATGTACAGTTGAAATTTGGATATGGAACATAACAATGTTTTTATTATAGCATAATGCAGGTGAGTTTATAGCGGTTTTGTGTTGTGCTTCTAACTGCCATCCTTTGATACTCTTTCATCTCCTTGAAAACCCTTGTAGAATTTAATGATTTAGTGGAAAATGTGGCACTTTATAGAAAGCAGTTTGTTAGAATCTAAATGGAAATAATCTTTATATGAGGTTTAAATTTGTAGACCATAGTTTATGCTGAGTGGCTTATTTCCTTTAAGTAAATGGTTACATTTGTCAAATCTGCTGATCTAAAGATACCCTTTATATTAAAGTTTTATTTTTGTGCTACTTAGAATCTCTGCAGGAACCACATACAAATGAGGTAATTGATGAACTTTGGGTTCAGCAATTTTCAACCTTATAAAAGAAGCAATTTCAACATTTATTTGAATCAGGTTTTAGCTAGCTGCTTATTATATCAACAATGGACAATGGGCATTTAGAGGGAGTCTTCTACACATGTTCTAGAAACCTTAAAGAATGTGTTAGAAACAGAAAAGTTTTGTGTTAGGGTGAGGCTGTAGGTTAACTTTGCTAGACAAGTAAGGGCCATGTGGTACTAGATAATTGGGTTTCTGGTTTTGAGGTGGTAATACCTTTGGGAATTGTATTTACTGTGATAACAGGTTCTGGGGACCATAGGCAGGCTTGTGAACTCTTACTAGACTTAAAGGAGACATGATGGCACATGTAAGATAAAACTTTGTTACATTCTTTTTAGTGGATATGTATCTAGCTCGAGATAATACTGAAATTAGACTGCTTTGCTTTAAAATGCTTTCCTGAAACAGTCTCTCAGAATGGCCATAATAATCATAAAAGTTGATCAGAGGTGGCTTAAATTCCTTAATTGGTTTTGGTTTTGATTATGCTTATGTATTAGCTTAGAATCAAGGTTGTTCTCTTTTTCATTATATGACTTGTTTTGAGAGCCTTGGACAATCTCCCCTCCTCCACTTTCCACTTGAACCTGGTAGCTTTTTTCTTTCCCTTTGAGAGGAAAATAGTATTGGAATGCATTTCTACGGTCAACTCCCATGAACCATGTGACCTGGTCTGTGACAAATCCATGTGTGTTCAGTACTTTGAAGTGTAGCCAGTATCATGGATTGCTAAGGGACTTGCATCTATCCAATGTGTCTTAGTTTTTTAACAAAGCAAGGTAAGGGAAGTTTACCAGATACTAACTATTGAATTACTTAAGCAAGTATTTATTTTTCAGAAAGCCACTTAGGGGAAGTTTGCCTTTATTTTTGATAGCGATTAGAGGGACAATTATATCTCATTTAATCTGGATATAAACAGTTACAACTGTTGCTCTAATTAACCACTTTGATTACAAAAACCTCAGGCTTTATTACATGTCATCTGTTTGATTTCAGATTTGATAAAAATTCTTAAATGTTTTTATGAAGAGTGTATGACCACTGATTTGGTCCTTTAAAATGAAGAATTGTACAGAGAACCTGGCATAAAGAAGTATGGGAGAAGAAGAGGACTTGGTTCTTTAAAGATTCAGTGCACACTTAAGTAGATTGTATAGAACACATCATGTTAAAAAGCAAATACATATAGGTAGATGTTAGATTTTGAAGAATAGTGGGGTAGATGTGGAACTTGGTTGGTGGGATAGGATTTATTTGGAAAAAATTCATTTAAGGTAAATACCAGAATATCTCCTTAAAGTTCTTCCCATTCTGATTGTTACCACAAGAAACAGGAGAGACTCCCAGAATTCTTTGAATTGTGGAATGTTAAAGCTGGAAAGGACTAAGGTGATTTGTACGACCTCTTCATTTCTCAAGGTAGATGGCTCAGAGACTTGATTAGTACAGAGTCCTAGATTGGCTTGTCGAAATAAATGGGCCCTTCCAGGGATCACCAATCTGCCCCAGCTTTGCTGTAGGAAACCAGAGCTGTTAAACGTCCCAGATGTGGGGAGAAAAGAGAAGGAGCCACAGTTTATATGCTTATCCAGTTGCTTCTATAACACGGTTTCCATACCCAGGTTTTCTCTATTATCTTAGAACTGTCTTCATGCCCAATTCTACCAGGGCCTTTGTCTAAGGACATTAACTTGTGCTCCCCTCAGGGATGGGTTTACTACTAGCTGTCAGAAAGCTATTGGGTATCCTAATGTGTTAATAGCTGAAACTCAGCTGTAATTTTCTCCTAAATCCTTCAGCATTTTGCATTCTGTACATTGTGGTGCTTTTTCCACCTTGTATTGTTGTAACTGTAAGCTCCTAAGGGGCGGCAATTTGGTCTTAGGCATGTATCCTGTTGAGTGCCTGGCAGTACCGTGTATGTATCGGGGTCCTAATCTTCCTTTGCAGTAATTTCATTATTCACGGAAGTGATGTTCCAGCTGTGCTGAACTATTTAAGGTTCCTCTAATAAGCCAGGCATTGCTGATTCCATGGCTTCAAGTGCCTTCTCTCTCCCTTGAAGGTAGACTTGCATCTTCACTCCCTCTCCCCACTCCTCTCTCTTGCCATTGAAGTTATTTTTCCAAGACCCAATTGAAGAGCTGTTTTCTTCCCCTAAGAAAAAAGATTGGCAGCAAGAGTAAGGAACCCCTTTTTGGGTTTGATCTGGCCAAAATTTGAAGTGAGGAATAAATTCATTCTCATTTACTTCCCACTTCTCATCCACGTTGTCCTTCCTGTTTGTTGCAACCTTCGTTTTTTAAAATAGGTGTTCTACAGCACACCGTTCTCCTAGCTCATAACCTTCCCCTTCAGCCTAGAGTTAGAATGACAGGTTATCTGTTTTACTACCTATTAGACCATAAGCTCCTAGAGGACAAGGACCATGGGACTGATCCCCTGTATTCCACCAGGGAGCACAGTGACTTGAAGGTCAGAGTCCTTAAGGATGACTCATTAGGTTGAATAACGGCATGCTTAAAAATAGAACTTAATAAATTTTAGGTGCTATTACATTTAATAGTGAGGAGATGGGTGGGAAATTTGAAGGCTGGGCAGAGAAGGAAGTCACTGGATGTTTTGAGGTACTTCTGTCCCTGGTCTGGGTAGTTAGCCCTTTCTTTGATTGTGCCCAGTATATTATCCCAAGCACTTTGTTTTATGCAGAAGAATTTTATGTGTCAATTTTAGTTTTCTTAATGCAAACCTACTCCGTTCATACCATCACCCATGCCACAAGTCATCTGCTTTTTTCTTACTCCACATACAGTCTCCAGTAAGTCCTGTCAGCTCTACCTCAGCAGTCTCTCACATCTTCCTCCTCACCTAGATAATTTCAGTGGCCTCTCAGACTCCTTTACCTCTTAGACCCCCAGCCTCCTTTATGTACAATATTAGATTCATCTTACCGAAACATAGCTCTGATCGTGTATTCCATGTTATGTGTTCTGTCTCCCCTGTTAGATTGTAAGCTCCTTCTGGGCAGGTTCTGTGTCTTGAGTCATCTTTGTATCTCCCATAGTACCTATCAATAAATACTTACTGAATGAACAACAGAAAGCCTTGTCTTAAATGAAATGTTTTTCCAGGTTATATGTATTCCCTCTGGGGTGATTGCAAGACTTCCAAAGCTCTCTTACATATAAAGTTGGTTAAATAGTCACAAATGAGTTAACCACAGAAAAAATTTCAGAAAACTTTTAATTTTTTTCCATTGGAATAAGCATGTATGTGTATATGGATGGTTCAATAAATATATTTTATATACAAGTATCACTGAAATTGTACATCTTTGAACTGCAGAAATAGATTTTTTTTTGTACAAGCCAAAAAGTAACTGCCATAACTTCTATGACTTCATGCAGAAAACAGAAGGGTAAGGGTTGAAAGGGAATTGGTTGTTCAAGGTTTAAGAGTTCAGTAAGAAGTAAAAATGTTAACATTAAGGAAGCGATTGCTTAACACGCTGCTTAAGGTAGTAGCCAGACAAATCCTTAAATGCAGCATTAAGGCCTACCAAGTTTATACATATATACAAAGAAATTTCCATACAAAAGACACGTTTTCTTCTGGGAAAGAATGAGGAGCTTTGTGAGAATTCTGACCCAATTTTCCAGGCCAATTGTTTAAGATGTCCACAGGCTACTTAGAAATCTCTTCTGCTTTGGCTGTCAGTTGTTACTATCTGGGCTTGTGACTTTTCTGGTGTCATATAGTAAGTATGAATCATCTTGAACCTCTTTCATCATGGGTACTCAAGCACTTTGTAGCTTAACTAATTCACACTGCCCAGTCCAGCATATTTTTCACATTTTGTCCCAAAAGTACTGGAATCACAGAACCGTAACTTGGAGTTGCTGACCTGTAACAGACTCTCCCAGTCAGTTGCTGGCACTGTGACCTAAGAATGACATGGTGCCCTACTTTGTTCTTTGGGGTTAAAATTTGAATAGTTAACTGTAATAAAACAAATTGTGAGGTTTCAGGTAACATCTGGAGCTGTTCAAATTTTTTAGCCCATGTCTCATGTCACATTTTGAACTACCTTTTTGGAAGAAGGAATGTAGAATCATTTAATGAATTTAATGTGGGATTTGCTCTTTTGCCTAAACATCAAATCCTGCATCTTTTACGACAAAGGGGTAGGTCTTGTGCAAATACCTAAATGGTTAAAATGTGGAAAACCTGAAGGGCAGGTCCTTTGGAGTGACTTCCTGTTAAGCTGAAGTCATTTGCTTTGGCAAAGGGTAAGACTGGAGATTGTACACTGGTTATATTGGTAGAAACTGGCTCATCTTTGCTGATGAATTTTAAGTGAAAAAAATTGAAAATTTATGAAATATAAATTACATAGTTAAAATACACTTTTCCCCAGTAGTTGACTTTGAGCCTTTATATGATGTTACAATTCATTTGGAATGTTTTAAATCAATCTGACACTGTCCTAGCTATATGAATTGGGTATCACTAATAGTACTGTTACCCTCAGTTCTCCATGGGCCAGTTTCCAAGTATGGCTCCAATGTGTTCACACAGCTAGGGCAGCAAGATTTGGTCTCCCATGGGTTCCCTGGGCCAGTCAACTTTGAGAATGAGGTTTCAGGAAATGGCCTGTTGTGGGAAAGAGGACCAAATAATGTGTGATTTGGAAGCACTTCAGTATGTTTGAACACTTAAGTAGTGACCAGTCAGTGTCCTTCACAATCATGCACCAACCATTCTTAACCCAAAATGACACTTGGTTACTTACATTGCAGAAGTTTGCCTTGGTTTTAGATAAAAGAGTTTAGCCAACAGGTCACCTGTGATGTTGATTCAAACAGACATGGACATCCTTTGGCAATCTGACACACAGAGCTTAAAAGTACTAAGGGTTTGGTTTTGGTTGCTTTGTCGTTCCCTTTGTACATTTCAATTCTAATTACAACAGTTGAAGATACGTTCTGTCCAGGTTTTCAAACTGATTGGGAGTCTGGCTGACGTCACTGCTGTGTTTGTCTTGAAAGTAGAAAGTGTCTGTGGGGCTGTCTTTGAGAAAGCTACACTGTTGTTTGTGTAACATATATACATGAAACACATTTGGTAGGCATTTTATCTATGTCCAATATACTTAAGGAGCAAGATGCATCCCTTTGGGTTTTAATTCATTCGTCTCATTTTAACTATTGCTAGTGTCAAAAATACGGTGGGATTAAATATTGGAAGACTGAACCATTAAAATGTGAAATAGTTTTGAATGCCTGAAATGTGCTGTAGGAACATTCAGTTTTTTAGTCTCACAATTATTCAGGCTAAATGGCATGTTGAGCGTGGTACACCTTTAAATGAGGTAGAGATCTAAGGAAAAATTGAGTTTAGTAAACTACTTGATACGTTACTACCACTTTTTAAGAAAGATTTGGAGCAATCTGATTTACTAGGATAAGTAATACCACTTTTCCAGAACATTCTAAACAATTAAGAAAGGTAAATTGTTCTGAATGAAACTCTTCTCTTTACATCTAGTAATGACTTCATTAAAAACCAGTTACATTTTGCCTCTTTTCCCTATTCATATTTGGCTTCTGCTCCCCTTTCCCTTTTTCACTTTATCAGTACGATTTCATGCTTTGAATGGAGAGATGTTCTCTAAGGTTGGGAGAAGTCCCTTTTAGGCAGAGCTGAGAATTGAAAAGTGCATGCTAGGCAGTACTTGCAGGTCAGCTCTATTTGATACTTCAGAGCCACAAAAGGTAATAGTATTTGGATCACAAGTTCTCTCAGAAATACCTGCATTGTACCAAGTATTGGCTTGATATTTGACAAAAGATAAAACTAGAAGTACTTCCTCAGAATCACTAGAATAGTAAGCTCAGTGTAGAACCATGACTTTACTTTTATTATCCCTATTCTAGTATCTCCCTAGCATAAGCTACTTGCTTAATACTTGTTGGGCTGAATTAATGCCCTTGAAGACCAGAAGTTCTAGGAGTTCCTATACTGACATGGAGAAGATAAGTTCCCCCAAAAAACAGGAAAATTTGAGTTAGGCTGGAAGTGCCAGCTCTTAGAAAGGAGATGAAATGTGCTGCTCTGCTCACAAAATAAAATCCTATCAGTTGGTCTTTGAGAACTGCCATACCTGACTTCTGACCCCCTTATTCCGCTTTTAAGGTTACAATAGATACCAAATCTATCCAAACATGCTGACTATTCATTATGCTTTGGCCAAATGGATAATCACTGTACCTTGTATTATACCCTTTGTTTTTTACCTCCATGTTTTTACTCATGTTTTCCCCTCAGCTGGAATACTCTTTCCACATGTGTCAAAATCTCATCTATCTTCAAAGAACTACTGCTCAAATGGCCCTTAAACCTTGAAATGATCCATGGTTTATTTTCTGTCCACCCCATGCTGTCTGCCCACACCACTGTCTCTATTACATATTTCTTGCTTTCCACATTAGTAATATTTCAATACTTCTATTGTTCCTCCTTTAAGAAAAGAGGCTGTGTTTTTTCCTAATGCCCTGTTGTCATTGTACATTGCCTTGCCATATAGTAGATTTAGTAAGTAGTAGGTGGAAGTTAAAAACAAAGATGATAAAAAAACTGGAAAGAGCATATTCTAGTCCTGGCTATGACACTTAACTTTTGAACCTCCTCTACTTCCAACTTGAACCTTGAAAGGCTAGGCTGCTTTCTCCAGACTGCGATGTTTTGAAAAATTGTTAAGTGCATCTACATAGCGGTCACCTGGACACCCCCTGAATCTCACTTGAAGCCACTAAATAGGGTCCATTCAGCATGCCACTTTGCTCACCAGCATCTAGAACTATACACAGAAGGAACTGCCCTAGCAGGCAGAGCAGTAACAAAGACATTCCTGCCATCACTGCTGTAGTTCAGGGCCTGGAAGGCCAAGCTTCTTGGATGAGGCCAAGTGGGCCCTACGGAGTGTAAGTAGAGGCTGTGTCCCATGAACTGGTCTGGTTGGTTTGTATATAACAAGTTATCTAGACGATTGTAAGTCAGGAACCAAAGACTTGGAGACAAGCAGCAGCTTCTAGTTACAAAATAATGTTTATGGGGGAGGGGTATATCCATGTACTTCCCTGTAATTCCATTTTCCCACTTCATTTCCAGAGCTGGTGTGGTAGTAAAGCACCATTAGAAGGCCCTTTACTGGAACATTGATCAGGCTGCCACGTTTAATAGTCAGTCATAATGGGTATATAAAGAGGTGTTTCTCTTTACCTGAACACCTACTTGGGGGAAGTGGTTACCTGTGTTTAACCCTTTGAAAGGTGGGTGAGACCATAATTAGAATCCAAATACTAGACTGCTATGGATAACCTTTTTTAGAGTCTAAGCTCAATTACTGCATTCTCCAAGATACTGTGGATTGTTCCTTTGACTGAACTCTTGCCTTTGCCTGTTCTGTTACCACACCTTCCCTTGAATTAGTTATTCATAACCATATCACGTCTTACCACATGGTCAGTTCAGTAGTTAGGGATGCTGCTTATCTTTGGCTCCTCTTCCTTGTGCACTGTTTGTACTAGGTTCTTAGTTGAACGAATGTTTTACAGGGATCCTAGACTGAAGACTTTCAGAAAAGGTCTAGTCCTTACCATTGATTCTGGCCAGATGCACACCATTCCTAGCACATGATGATCTCATGCAGAATCACAAACACTCTCCCCCTAGTGCCACCTATTCCCACCCTACCCTGTTTACTCATTTTACTCTTACACATTCTACAGCCAGAAAATGGCCCCATATCAACTCCAAATCCTTCATGCACCAAAAACTGGATTAGTAGGCTCTGAACCTTTTACAGTGGGCTGCTGGATTTAGATTGTTTATTACCAGGTTCCAAGAAGTAGGTGGCCAAGGATGTCTTGTTTAGTTGTTGAACAAAAAGGTTTGATTTCCAGTCTAGTACAGGATAATATTCCTTGACATTTAGCAGATTATAGGAAGTTAACTTTTAGTGTATACTGGACTGTACCTAGGCAAAAGGGTCCATATTTTTACCCCAGTGTGGTATTCATTTACATTAACATGATCTAATAAATGTCTCATCTATATACTGCTTTTTAATGACTAAACTACCATATTATTTACTTGATTTTATACTTAGTTTGGGATGATAGAGCTTTTTACATGTGGGTGACTAAGGTCACAGAGTGAAATAATTTACTGAAGGTTAAAAACAGTTAAGCTGAAGAGTTAAATACATGTCATACCGCCAAAACTCAGCTTCCCGTCATCTGTGGAATCATGTC